CATCAGTGACGGGCTATATACTTAATCTCTATCGGGCATTAACTAAAGCCCGTCACCGAAGACTATTTTTCCATTTTTCATATGAAATGTTTATATTTATAAGTTGACTATAGCAAAAATAATTTTACAGGTAGTAAATGATTTCAAATGGAAAAAATGTCAACAACAAAGTTGTATAACTTATCAATATTTACAACTTTTAGTTTGGTCATTTTTCAATATAACATTTTTTTGAGCAGTTTGAATTTGAATTTAAAAATATGACAACTTCAAACAACATTTTCAAATACTAAATGATTTCAATTGAAAAAGTCATCAACAACAAAGTTGAATAACTCATCAAGATCTAAAACTTTTATTTTTTTTATTTCTTCATCTGACGAAATGTTAGTAATATTATTCACAAATTTTACATATATGTGTTATAGTTTATAAAACCAGATAAGAGATATGTCAATTTTGTGAACAATGTTACTATCACTTTGTCGTATGAAGAAATGACCAAAATAAAAGTTTTAGATCTTGATGAGTTATTCAACCGTGTTGTTGATGACTTTTTCAGTTGATATCATTTAGTATTTGAAAATGTTGTTTGAAGTTGTCATATTTTTAAATTCAAATTCAAACGGTTCAAAAAATGTTATATAGAAAAATGACCAAAATAAAAGTTATAGATTTTGATGAGTTATACAACTTTGTTGTTGATGACTTTTTCAGTTGAAGTCGTTCACTGATCTAAAATTCTATTTGAACTTTTCAAACTTTGAATTTCAAATTTCAAATTGTTTAAATAGAGTCAGATGGAGAAATTACCAAAATAAAAATTTTGCACCTCGATGAGTTCTACAACTTTGGTTTTGGTGACTTTTCCATTTGAAATCATTTAATAATCCCAATTTGACATCCTGGACTAGGGCATAATAGGATTAATAGAATACTCATACCAACATGTCACAATTACTTTTCCGGAAGCCAATCTCTAGAGAACTTTGACGTTAAGTGACGAGTGAGGGCTAGCCAAAAAATAAAATTTATTTATTTTTGGAATATACTCATCTGTGACAGGCATTAACTCTAGCATAGGTTAATGCCCGTCACAGATGACTCATATGTGACGGGCTATAATTAATGCCCGTCACAGATAAGGGTCATCTGTGACGGACGCTAGTTGTAGCCTGATTGAGATAGGTCATATAGTTTGACTGGTCGTCTGGGTCAAAGCTATCGGTGACGGGCTTTACTTAGGGCCCGATTGAGATAGAATCATCCGTGACGGCCGTTTGCCCGATTGAGATAGCTCTTCACATCAGTGACTTCTAGCCTGTGACGGACGCCATGCCCGATTGAGATGGGGCTTACCACCCAATTGAGATGAGGGTATCCGTTCTAGTGCATATTCGACAAGAGATATGAGGTGGGCAGGATGCATATATTATGTTATAGAGTAGGACTCGGTTGCTATGTTGCCTTGTATCATAAGGCATGGTATAGAGCCCAACCGGGTACTACCTAAAGCAAAACATGCAAGTATTGTATTTATTAGCACTCCTAAAACCTACATACAAGCATGCCACATCAACCCATTAAACACACAAGGCTTAACATGCAAACATATAGTAATTATATCTACAATTTACTTCATTCTAAAACTAAACATACACATGCTAGATCATTTTCATAATATTTCAATCCAAGTCATTTCATCATTTCTCTATTATCTAACATATAGTAGATTAGGAAACTAATGCCGTGTCCGGCTAGGTTTCTGTCTTTGTAACCCTGCCCCACCCCCAACCTATATAAGACGAGCAGGGGCCCTCTCAAGGGTAGATGAACACATAACCACAACCAAATTTTCAAATCAATACATAACTCGCGGATACAATCCTCAAACAGAAGTACGGTATTACCTCTCATCGAGAGGGCCTGAACCTATCTAAACCATTATCTCCGCATCTATCCATTTTTAGGTCTCTGCGCTACCCCGTTTATTGTTGCCAAATTCCAGTTTCGACAATTCCTATGATTTCTATGAATAGGTTCTAGCATTCAAATAGAATATTTTTATTATTCTACAAATTATTCTTGTGTTTTGTTAAAACTTGGCCTCATGGTACATTGCTGAATGGGCCTATTTGGCCTAACTAACATCAATTGAGTCGGGCCATGAGCCCATGGCTTATGTGTTGTGTAGAGTTTTCTCGATGACTATCCACTCGCATCAATGTGATATATCTCATATTATTATACTATAGATTTATACTTTTCTTCTTATATAAATTCAAAATTTATCTGTGATGTCAGGGACAAAACGTGGCCCAATCAATTTATCTGTGATTTTAATTTATCTGTTGGCTTGAGATTAATAGATAGGGGACCCGTCAAGATTTGATGAATTAAGGGATTGATTGACAAGCTCGCCGGCAGGACTATATATGGAATTATGGATATTGTCTTATTTTGTCATCTTTTCTCCGTGGTAATGCAGACTTTTTTCAGGCAAAACGATGCAAAAGTTTCAGCATGATTAGTTAAAAGAAAGAAACATTATACCAACCCGCACAATGGTTGTTAGAGTAGTGACTTGAGGGAGTCGAGGATTGGTGATTCACTGGAGGGAGCTGTGCGCAACAATCCCACTGTGTTGAATTAATAAATGATTGGCTGGAGTGTCCATATACTACTAATCAAAAAGTCTACTTCCAAGGAGAGATCTAATTGGTTTCTAGTTATCATCTAATTTAATTTAATAATTCACTAATACACTGCGTCACATATGTAACGTCCTTATACATGCATGTTCGCTTAAAACCAGCACAAATATGACCAATTTCTCATCCATCTAAGCCTCATTGACTGGTTCAAATTAAAATCCGTCACCATTTATGATGGTTTAAAATACAGAGCGGCACCAATTAATAGTTTTAAGGAGTAATAGGTGCCGGTTGTTATAACAAACCGGCATATATGTACTAGGAAAAACCAGCACATATTGATTACTATATATAAGAGGCACCTACAAGTACCATCACTAGCTAGCTTCATTAATTATATTGGTGCTGGTCTTGGAACAGATATCTATGAGGTTTTTCTACTAGTGACTACACTAAAAATATATTTCTTTTGTTGAATCGGGTTAAGCTTGTATGGAAAACTCCATGAACCTTAGTTTCAGATTATTTTTTTTCTCTCATTCATTAAGAAATATGTTTCTTACAGTAAGTCTACATGCTCTTCTAAAGTCAAAAAAAATTAATGATACTTACGTAATTTTTTATGAACGATGAAACATATATGAAAAAGTCAATGATATCATATATTAAAAAATAAAGCCTAAAATTGCACACTCCTAAGTCTAAAATTGTACTAGGTATGCGTGTGTATGGTTACCTTTTTTAACTGTACTTATGCTGTTATATATGGCTTTACTTTATTTTTATCTAAGATTGAACTTTTTGTAACTAATTTTGTAAAGATTATGAGCTGTAATTTTTTCATGTAATTTTTGTTATTATTTCACCCTGAACTTTCAATACCGCACGAATTACCCCCCTTGACCTAATCCAGAGCGATTTTGTCCTACATGCCATACACGTGGCAATCATGTCATCATTTTGTTTTAAAAAAATTATGGGACCCACCTATCATACTCCGCTTCCCTTTTTCCTCTCTCTCTCTCTTCACTTTATCTCTCTCATGGGGGCGCAGGAGTGGGAGGTGGGTGGTGGTGCGAGCGGCGGCGACGGGCACAGCTGGGTCGCCAGCGGCGACGAGTGCAGCTCGGTAGCGAGCCGCTGTCGGCGAAGCCACCTCCTCGCCACAGCCGCTTCTCCCCTTCCTTCCCCTTCTTCCTCCAGGTCTGGCGGTGGTGGTGGCGAAGGAACCGCCGGGGGGCAGGGCAGGCCGGGAAAGCAGCGACGGCGGTGGTGGCGGCATCAGTGACGGTGGCGGTCCCTCCCCACTGCTCCCGCCACCGACCAGGGCCACCCAGCCGCGCCCCTTGCCGCATGCCACTCGCTGCCAACCAACTTCTCCTGCCCGCCATGCCCGCCGCCAGCCGGAGACGCGCTCACCCTGCTCGTCCAGCTGTGCCCGTAGCCGACTACAGGCACCCATCCACTCCCGTCGCCCCTTGTCGCTCGCCGCCGACCAGTTCACCCTCCTTGCCGTGCCCACCGCCGACCGGAACACCACCCGCCGACGCATGCCCAACTGCACCCGTAGTCGACCGGAGCTACCCAGCCGCACCCGTCGCTGCTCGCCGCTCGCCACACGCTGCCAGCCGATCCCCCCTTCCTACCGCGCTCGTCGCCCCTCCTTGTCGTGCTTGCCACCGACCGGAGTCGCACCCACCGCACTACAACAGGAACCCCCTCTAGCAATACATGCTTGGCAACGCATGAAGCATGCGTTACCAAAATGCGAGCCTAACAACGCTTATTAGTGGGTGAGCCTAATTTGCAATAGATAATATGTGTTGTAGAACATATGTTGCAGAGATTGAGTATATTGCAACGCCTGAGTCCACTTTGCAATAGATAACATGCGTTGCAATGGTCTCAATGTCCTGTAAAAACTTTTGGACTAAGCAAACTTATTGTTTATTTTTATAAAATAATTGAAAGAGATATATTTTTTTTACATTTCGGACATCTAGCGAGCTGTTTTTTTTAAGAAATCATCAAGTGAGTTGGTTTTTTGCCATGTAAAAACTTTTGGACTAAAGCAAGCTTTTTTAGAAAATAATAATAATTGAGCGAGCTGTTTTTTTACACTGTGTACTGGGCGAGCTGTTTTTTTTTAAAAAAATTCAAGCGAGTTTTTTTTTTAAAAAAAAAACAAATCGGCCTGTGTTAATCGAAACAGAGACGCAACATTCGTGAAAAAGTGCTCTCCGTCCAGTCACCTAACAACCTGGTAATGTTATGCTTTGTGTTTATATGTAGGCATAACTACTATACTATATTTAGTAATTTAATTAATGAGAACCAACAGAACGATATACGTGAACAAAATATAGCCCAGTGGGCTCAACCCAGCGCCGCCTCCTCGACCCCAACTCTGCTCCGCCTCTTCCTCGCGTCGTAGCGCACCGCCGGCGCCGGCCTCCGCCGCCACGCCGCGCAGCACCGACACCGCGCCGTCCCCCTCCGGCACCGCGCCGCTCCACCATCCCCCTCCGCTGTGCCGCGCCGCCGTCGCCCTCCGCCGCCGGGCACAGCGACGCCGGCCGCCGCCTCGTTCGTCGGGCTGCCGACTGCCAACCCCAGCCTCCGAAGACGGTATTTGGAATTGGAGGCACTACTGCTTCTCTCGAACTCCTACGTATAGCATATTATCCATGGGATAGCTACCTGATGGGCCCGATCTTCGATGATATGGCATTATTAATGATGCAAACACCAATTAAACTTATTTAGCTGTTGAGTTGAACATGATATTCTGACTAGTTCATGCCATGTACGAGCAGACCATGGACATTCAGCATTCTATTGAATGCCGCAGAAACTTTCTGCTACCCTGTTAATCAAGCAAAGTTGTACTCCCTCGGTCCCATTATAAGTGCAACCATAAGTTTCCGCGCCCAATTTTGATCGTTCGTCTTATTTAAAATTTTTTTATAATTAGTATTTTTATTGTTATGAGATGATAAAACATGAATAGTACTTTACTCGTGACTTATGTTTTTAAATTTTTTTCAAAAATTTTTTAAATAAGACGGACGGTCAAAGTTGGACGCGAAAAACTATAGCTGCACTTATAATGGGACGGAGGTAGTAGTCAATAGTAGGAAAGTATTACACCAATATGTTATGCTGCTGGATTTGTTTATAAAACAATTACCAATCTGTTTCTCTACATTGCCATGCCTATAGGATTTTAAATAAATTTGTGCTAACAATATTTTCACTGGATTTAGACCAAAGCGATGATCCCCTTCATTTATGTTGCCTCTTTTCCAATTAAAGGAATTAACTAAGTTCTGAATTTTCAAGAGACTAATTTACATTTATGGATGATAATATAATTTTGATAGTTTATTTCTCATGTTTAACCTTGAATCATTTGTACTTAAAAACATTCTCTCTATCCTTTAATAGTCCCGGCGCTGATCCTCCGTCAACGTCGTGACTTTCAACCCCGCAGTCGATCGCCGGAGGTCTCACCACTTGGCAGCGCCCCGATCTGTTCCGCGTCCGCTGACGGGGTAAACGCGGGTGAAGGTGGTCTACGGCTAGGCTGCAGAACTAAGGTCTGAGTCCAATCCCCGGCCTGCTCCACTCATTTCATTAGTGTATTTGTTTGATAAATTATTAGAAATGTCTTCATAAAAATGATGGACTGAAGTTGAATGGGATATGTGTGTATATACATTATATAGCAGTGCATGAAATTTGATTATGTTGAGATACTTGCTGCTGGCAGATGAAGTTTGATGGTTATTATACTTCGTATTTGGTTCCATACAGTTATTTTGAAATTAGAACATTTATGTCCCATTTATTTGCTTGATCTCATCTTCTTGCAAGCTACAGCCATCCTGGGTTTTTCTTAAGTGCTGCACTTCTCTCTCTCTCTATATATATATTCTTTCTTGGTAAATTTTAACCCTTAATGTTCACTTTCTCTGAGAGAATCCATTTTCTTTTCTTTAATTTCAGGTAGTATATAGCCTGTTTTTACAGTTTATGGACTAAGGCTTACATACTATGCTACTTTCAAAAAATTATCAGAAGAGACAATTCCTTGTCATTGTTATTATCTAAAAGAATCTTAAATATCATTTTTCTATACAGGTCAAAATGGATTTAAAAACCATCAAGATTCTTTTGCGCTACCCTAGAGGTTCTGATGAGTACTTAGCTGGAGTACATGGATTTCTTGAATTTGCATATAAAGATAAGTCGGAGGATACAAAGATTTATTGTCCATGTGAAACATGCGTACATACTATGCTACTTTCAAAAAATGATGTCTATGATCGTTTGGTGTGCAATGGAATGCTCCAGAGTTATGACCAATGGGATTTTCATGGTGAGTCTTCAGAGGAGCAAACTAGGAATCAGCAACCACAGCCCCACAATGAAAATATGCGTGCTAACATGCACGAATTAATTAATGATGCATTTAGGACTGTGTATGACGACGTGCCTATGAGTGATCATGCAGATTCACCATGTACACATACTGATGGGCCAAATTTAGAAGCTCAAGCATTTTATAAGCTGGTGAAAGATTCAGAGAAGCCTTTATGGGATGGATGTGAACTATCACACTTATCTCTGCTAGTGCTTTTGTTCAATATGAAATCCATGAACAAATGGAGTGATAAATCATTTGGCGATCTACTTGATATCCTTCACATGGCAATTCCAAATGAAAAAGAATTGCCAAAAAACTTTTATGAGGCTAAGAAGGTGGTTTCAAAATTTGGTCTAGATTATCAACAAATTCATGCATGTCCCAATAACTGTCAGCTGTTTTGGAAAGATAAGGTTAATGATGATTTTTGTTCAATTTGTAAGGCTTCTAGATGGAAAGGTAAAAAGCCAGAAACCAAGTTAACGAAAGAAAGAAAGAAAGCAACGCCAAGCAAAGTTTTACGATATTTTCCAATAAAGGATAGGCTAAAAAGATTGTTCATGTGCAGAGAAACAGCATCGCTCCCACGTTGGCATGATGAAGAGCGCTTAGAGGATGGTGCGCTTCAACATCCAACTGATTCTCCGGCATGGAAGAACTTTGATGAAAGGTTCAAGCAATTTGTATCTGATTCTCGTAATATACGGTTTGGGTTAGCTACAGATGGGTTTAACCCATATGGTATGTTGAGCTCTACATACAGTTGTTGGCCAATTGTTTTAGTAATTTATAATCTTCCACCATGGCTCTGCATGATGGAACCTAATCTTCTAATGCCATTAATAATTCCTAGGCCCAAAAGTCCTGGAGATTACATTCATGTTTTCCTCCAGCCACTTCTAGAAGATTTAAGAGACATATTTTTCAATGGCATTTCCACATATGATGCATCTAGAGATGAAACTTTTAATTTGAGGGCAGCTGTACTATGGACTATAAATGACTTGCCAGCTTTAGGAATGCTTGCTTCACATATGGTGCATAGAGAATTTGCATGCCCGCCTTGTGGTCCAAATGTATGGTCCAAACGTTTGGCACATGGGAAAAAATCTTGTTTTATGGGTCATCGTAGATTTTTGCCACCTAATCATGAATTTCGTTTTGATAGAAATTCTTTTGATGGAACCACAGAGATTAGTGCAGAGCCTATAACTTACTATAGGCGTCCAGTATTGGATGAAATAAATGCTATTGGTGATTTTAAGAAGTCAAAAACTTATAAGGCAGTAAGTAGTCTATTCACATTATCTTACTGGGATGGCAATCTTCTTCGGCATAATCTTGATGTGATGCACATAGAAAAAAATGTGTGCGACAATATTTATGGTACACTTCTAAAATTTAGAAGGAAAGTCAAAGGATAATCTCCAAGCTCGTCTTGATCTCAAAGAAATGAACATTAGAGAGGAGCTGCATCCACAACAAAGAACTTCAAGCAAGTTTTACTTGCCACCTGCTAGCTTTACTATGTCGAAAAGCGAGAAGCAATTGTTCTGTAAAGTTCTTCGGGATATAAAAGTTCCTGATGGCTATTCTGCAAATATATCCAGATGTGTAAACTATGCCGAAGGAAAAATTCATGGGCTCAAGACACATGATTGCCATGTTCTAATGCAACAATTGATGCCAATTGCTTTGAGGGGTATTCTTCCCGATGATGTCACATCCGTCTTGTTTGACTTATCTGCTTACTTTCAAGGAATATGTTCAAAAGTTCTTCATGTTGATGAGCTTGACCGTTTGGAAGAAGCAATTCAAATCACATTATGCAGAATGGAAATGATAATTCCTCCTAGATTCTTCACGGTTATGGTTCACTTGGTTGTCCATTTAGCTACTGAATGTAAGATTGCTGGGCCAGTTTGCTATCGATGGATGTACTTTATTGAAAGGTACTTTATTAAATATATTAGTATACAATTTATAATATTTGTCATATGTCATATGATATAGTAGTAACTTATTAATTTTGTGTCTTGTATATATATTACAGGTACTTGGGTAAATTGAAGTCGTATGTTCGCAATAAAGCGCGTCCAAAAGGTTCAATTGCAGAATCATATTTGGCAGATGAGTGTATGGCATTTTGTTCACGATATTTGGAAGGTTTCCCTACCAAGCATAACCTACCATCAAGGAATAATGACAAGCCAGATCAGTTTGAGACTCCCATGAGTAGGCAAGAATCTACTTTGTTTCCTCCAGTAGGAAAACCATTGGGAAAACCATCAGTGTACTCCTTAACTGGTAGAGAGAAATTGCAAGCCCATAGGTATGTGCTATACAACTGTGATGCTATAGTACCATATCTAAAGTACGTATTGTCCTGACATAGCCTTTTATATGTGGCGTAAAGTGTTTTGCTTAGCCTTTTATGTTTATTTGTTTTGCAGAGAACATGCTGCTGATTTGAAAAGGAATAAGCGCAAAAGGTTAACTCCAAAAAAAACATTGAGGACATGTGACGGAGCTCGTTGCCCCTCACCGGGAGACTGCGCAAGCCCCCCTTTGCCGGTTCGACCAGGGGCTTAGGGTGCAATCCCAAGCTCTCTCTCTCTCTCTCTGTATGTGGAAAGATCACCCGCCCGCAAGACACACGAGACACGGCGATGTATACAGGTTCGGGCCGCTGCGAAGCGTAATACCCTACTCCTGTGTTTTTGTGGATTTGTGTATGGACCAGTTACAAAGGATTAACTTCCTTTCCCCTCAGCCTTCCAAAAGGGAAAAGTCCCCTCTCTAAATGGGCAAGGTCCTCCTTTTATATCTCAAGGGGATACCACATGCACCTTTCTCTTTCCAAACTGGACTGTTCTTTTTCTCTTTAATGGGCGGAGATCGGTACGGTTTCCATCCGGGAGCCCTTCTGATGGGACAGCCCACACCTACCCCCACCTCCCCCGAAGACAGAGATGACGCGGGACCGTGGCTGTCTGTCGATGACGCGACCAGTGCCAGACCGGTCATTCTTGTCCACCACGCGTCAGCTTAACAACGTGCATGTTTGCCCTTCTTCGTGTAACACCTTGCCTGTAATGGTTAGGATGAAGCCTGGTATAAATCTGACCAGGGCTAACGTGCCATCTCTAAGAGATAACACGCTAGCTCCGGCTTGAGACGAGTGCCTAGAGGCTTTCGTCTTGACGGGATGGGGCAAGGCGTGCGTCAGACCGCCAGTCGCCACCTAACCCGTGATCTGACCGGTCTGTGACTGGTCACAGACCGGATAAAGGAACGCGCTGTACTGCGTTGCATGCAGCGTGACACGCTTTGACCAGACTGCAATAAATGCTGTTAGGTGAGCACAGCTGTGCTCACTTATCCCATATATGTGGCGCAGACTTCCTTAAGGGGTCGGGGTGCCTCGGCCCTCGGGGCCGGGGCAAGCGCAACCCGACCCCCGAGGCAACCCGACCCCCCCTCGGGGGAAATCAGGAGGAGGGCGGACACCTCACCCTCGGGCCCGACGTCCCCGAAGGTGCCAGGCCACGTGGGCGATTGCGTCTGCCTCAAGCCTCTGGTCATGATACTCCCGGTCCCATATCACCGACAGTAGCCCCCGGCGTTATGCCAGAGCAATTTCCCTTCCCCAGGGAAGCGGTCAGGTGTGACGCCACCCCTAAAGCCTGGTGACAGGTGGGACCGGTCTCCGTAGTTGGGCAAAATACCCAACGGTCTCAATCCATGCACATTGGTATTGGTAACTTTGGTTGTCCATAATGGGCGGTCTATTCAAGACTGCCACACCACTTGAGCAGCGCGCGAATCTGGGTGAGCAGATTTGTCTCGCCCGGAGATATGGTAACGCCGCTTCGGTCGGCGAGCGTAATTAACGCGCGCACGATACAATCCATTTCGATTGCCACAACCGCATATCCACATCATGCGCCGTATGCGGGCGAATGGGATTAGTGGAAGCGTGGGCACGGGAAACGAGGGAGCGAGATAGCGAGATACGAGGGAGCGAGGTAGTGGGCGCGAGAAACGAGGAGCCAGGCCCAGCGATGGCAAGGGTATAAAAGCATCGAGAAAAGGATTTGCTTCCTTCCTTTCGCCATTGTTCCTCTTGCCTTCGCCGCCTGAGCTCTAACTCTTTCTCTGCTACGCCCTACTTTCGCCACACGCGCTCGTTCTCAATCATCTCTTCCTCCACCGCCATGGCACGGGGCTCTGCTCTGCTCGACGGCAGTGTACTACCACCTTCCCGCATCGTGAGCGAGAGGCACGCCGGACTGCCGCGCCGCTTCATGCCGGAGTCCGCCACCGGTCGGGAGATAGTGATGCTGGGCGAGGGACGCCCGGCACCAGACTACCCGGGGCGGTCCATCTTCTTCCTCCCCTTCGCAATGGCTGGGCTGGTCCCGCCATTTTCTTCTTTCTTCATGGATGTCCTGGAGTTCTACGATCTCCAGATGGCGCACCTCACCCCCAATGCGGTGATGACATTGGCCATCTTCGCGCACCTGTGCGAGATGTTCATTGGGGTGCGCCCCTCTCTTCAGCTGTTCCGGTGGTTCTTCACCGTGCAGTCGGTGTCACCGCCGTCGGTGGTTGGCGGCTGCTACTTCCAGCCGCGGGGGCCGGTGTTGAACCGCTACATCCCCTGCGTCCTCCGCAAGAAGTGGGACGACTGGAAGAGTGACTGGTTCTACACCCCCCTCGCCAACGAAGCGCGCCTCCGACTTCCAAGCCAGCCCCCGGCGCAGGTCTCCAGCTGGCGGGCGCCGGTAGATCTGGGGGAGGACTACGACGCCGTCCTCGACCGCCTGGCGGGCCTGCGATCCCAGGGGCTCACCGGGGCCATGGTGTACGGCGATTACCTCCGTCGCCGGATTGCGCCGCTCCAACGGCGCGCCCGGAGCGCCTGGGAGTACACTGGGCCTGAAGACTACATGCGGACCCACCAGGGAGCCAGATGGGATTGGGCTCCCGAGGACTTCAAGATCGTGGTCCAAAGGGTGCTGAATCTTAGCTCCGTGGAGGCGTCTCGCATTCCTCAGGAGATCCTCCCCCTCTGCAGCGATCCCGACCGCGCCTCCATTCTAACCATTATGATGGGGGTCGGGGCCTCAGAGGAGAGAGCCCCTAAGGGCCACGACGGCGCGGGCGAGCGCCGCCGGGGGGAACAATCTGCCCCAGGAGGGGGTCGTGCTTCTGGGCCCCGCGTCGGGGGCTCGGGGAGCAGCCGCCCTGCCGACGCCCAGGGGAAGAGGAAGCTGGGAGGAACACCTCCCCCATCTCCTCCCCGAGGGGGCGGGGCGGCGCGTGCCAGCAGTCGGCGCCCGGAGGGGGCCGCGCCGACGTCGCAGCCCGAGGGGGAGCGCAAGAAGAAACGGCTCCGCAAGACGGGGGAGACGGAACCATGCCGGGGAAACCTGATTTCCCCTCCAAGGTGGTCATTCAACCGACCCCCTCGCAGGTTCGTCTCACTCTCATTGCAACCATCTTTCTCCCAAAAGGAAGTTTTTTCTTACTCATTTTGTTCGTCTTCTGGTTTTTTCTTCTGCTTCAGCGATGTCCCGTCGCATTCCTCCCGCCACCCCAAGTCCGGCCAGTCCGAGGCCGAAGATCCAGCGGCCGCAGAGGAGCGGAGGCGAGAATCTGACCGGCGTGAAGCCGCAGACCGCCTTCGGGAAGCTGAAGAGGCCGCCCGGGAGGCCGCCCGGATTCGCCAAGCGGAGGAAGCTGCTCGGGAGGAGGCCGCCCGGGCTCGCCAGGCTGAGGCAACAACTGCTGCTGGCGCATCAACTGGGCCCACTCCCTCGGGCAACCCTCAGGCGACAGCCTCCGGGGAGGCTCACGACGAGGCCGCGGGCACATCGCCTGGGCCCACCTCCCCGGGCGACGCCCAGGATCAAACGGGTCCGGGGGACATCCCCGAGCCCAGCACGTCCTCCGGGGGGCCGAGCCGCATCGCCTTCTCTCCAAGGCGGCTCTTCTCCTCATCTTCCGTCGCCCCGCTGAGCGCCGAGCCCATTCTGCAGGCCTTGGCCGCCGCAAACACCGCGGTGCTAGATGGGTTCAGCGCCCAAGTGGAGGCCCTGCGCGCGGAACGAGCGGAGCTCGAGGCCGCATGGGCACGCGTTGAGGAGGGGCGGCGCTCGGTGGACGCCATGGTGGAGGTGGGCCGTAAAGCTCACCGCCGTCACGTCTCGGAGCTTGAAGCCCGGAAGGCGGCGCTGACGGAGATCGCTCGTGAGGTGGAGGAGGAGCGAGCGGCCGCCCTTATCGCTACCACCACGATGATTGAGGCGCAAGACGCCCTCCGCCTTCAAAACGCCAACCGGGAGGCGGAGCTGAAAGAAAAGCTCGACGCCGCCCAGGGAGTCCTTGACTCCGCCGCTGCCCGAGAGCGGCGGGTAACAGAGAGTGAGGCGGCGTCCCGGCGGCGCGAGGAGTCCCTTGAGGCCCGTGCTATGGCGCTGGAAGAACACGCCGGCGCCGTGGAGGAAGGCTTGACGGACCGCGAGGCCGCCGCTGCTCTCCGGGAGGCGACGCTGGCGGCGCACGAGGCCGCCTGCGCCGAGGAGGAGTGCGCGCTCCGCCTCCGCGAGGACGCACTCGCTGAGCGGGAGCGAGCTCTCGAGGAGGCTGAGGCCACGACCAAACGGCTGGCGGACAGCCTGTCCCTTCGCGAGGCGGCGCAGGAGGAGCAGGCGCGCCGCAATCTTGAATGCGTCCGCGCCGAGAGAGCCGCACTGGAGCAGCGGGCTGCTGACCTCGAGGCGCGGGAAAAGGAGCTGGACGCGAGGGCGCATATCGGTGGGGCGGCCGCGGGCGAAAGCGACTTAGCCGCCCGCCTCGCAGCTGCCGAACACACCGTCGCCGATATGCAGCGAGCGCTGGACTCCTCCACCGGGGAGGCCGAGGCCCTTCGCTTGGCGGGCGAGATTGGGCCCGACATGCTTTGGGATGCGGTCTCCCGCCTGAAGCGCGCCGGTCGGCAAGCGGGTCTCTGGAAAGGCCAGACGACGGTGCCCCCCACCAATTTGGAAGGCCTCGCTCCGCACCTCAACAGGATGGCCTGGGTTCTCGAACAACTCCCCGAGGAGCTTGAGAAGACCATCAAGTCATCCTCGAGGGACCTCGCGCGGGGAGCGGTCGAACTCGTGCTGGCGAGTTACCAGGCCCGGGACCCCAACTTCTCTCCATGGATGGCGCTGGAGGAGTTCCCTCCCGGGACCGAGGACGATGCGCGCGCGCGGGTCCGGGATGCCGCTAACCACATCGTCCAAAGCTTCGAGGGGTCGGCCCCTCGGCTCGCGTTCGCCCCCAGCTCCGACGAGGAGGGCAACACCAGCAGTGCAGACGATGGTGGTGACGAGGCCGTCGACTCGGGCGCGTCGGAATGAGCCCCCGGGCCCCCGCCAATCTTTACTTTTTTCTTTTTCTTTCTTCTAAGGCCTTCATGCCTCTTTTGTGTACAAATTAACTTAATCTGCAATCAGAAATGATGAAAAAATTTTTGTGTTAGTTTTATTTTGCTATACATACGAGATGAGGATGATCTGTGCCGTGGTCCTTTTGCGTCTTAGCTTGAAATAAGGGCTCGTGCCCAAGTCCCAGTCCTCGAATGGCTCGGGTCGGGGCTAGTGCCTGGGGAGATCCACATGTCGAGACTGGCCAGGCCGGGAACGTGGTGACCGAGGGGTATGGGTGACCCGATTGTGGGTTTTTGTCGATTCCCCCCCGGAGTTCACCACGCCCCGGGGCACGGCTCGGTTCTGGGCCCCGTTTGGCGATTTTAGCTGACCGGACCGAACCCCCGATGGCAAGGTTGAGTACGAGTGACCTTATTTTAAGCCAAGATTCTTCAAAAGGAAAGAACAGCACAGACA